CCACTCTCCTTGAGCTTTTCACTTGTTCCTTCTGATCACACACAATATCAAAGCCATAAGAAACTTGTCTATAGCTTCTAACTACTCAGACCATACTTGTACTATGCGTTGAAACTATATTTTTCAAGTTGCTTCAAAAACACAACAAAAATCCATCACATGTGAACTTTTGTTTATGACCTCTCCAAGCCTTCAAACATTCTCCTATAAATTGAGACACTGTTATGCAACTTAGGACACGAAATTAGAAGCCTAAAAACTCCCTCAAACTCCCTTCAACCAGAAATTGCACAAAAACTCCATTTTTACCACAGTTCTTCCCTTGAACTTGTATCTTCCATTTTCATCACGCGTTTTCCCTCAAAATCATTTCCAAAGCTTCCATACATAAAATATAGTTCATCCCTGTCCTTGTTTTAGAACTGTAACACCTCCATCACCATTGGCCAAACACAAAAACAGCCACCTGCAACTTGACTTCTCCATAACATTTCAGCCACTCTAACCTCAAGCTAAGCATTGCATTAGCTTCCTAGAGGTCCAAGGAAGCTAACCAGATCATTGTAGCACCTTGAAGCAAGCTCAAACTCAAAACACGAATTCCATTTTCAAGGTGAATTTTCTGACTTTTGAACTCTTCATATAGGCATCATTTGGTTTCCATTTTCAAAGATAAAATGTAGACATCATAGCCCTAAAACTAACCATGCCCTTGGAATTCATTTATATTGCTTGAGTAGTGAGAATTTTGAGTTTGAAATTGCAGAAAAAGTTAGGTTAAATTTGGTACCAAACAAAATTCATGCTCATCATTGATTTATAGCTTTAATTATTTATATGACTGAAGTCGTGATGAAATTTGGAGCAAGTTTCATGTTTATACTTTTGCAAGTGGTTGAGAAATGAAGTAGATAGCGTTTTCAAAAATGGTGTTGTAACTTCTGGCGCGAGGAAGAAGATGTAGTCATATTCATGACTTGTTTTATAATATATATGTTTGGTTTTGTTTATAACACCGGATGTATAGCCACCCCAGTGGTAAGAAGCACGCGTCTGTGACTATAGGGACATGGGTTCGATCCTCAGTGGTACCCTTTTGTTTTTCATAATTTCTTGTTTCAGATTTTATGCATACAAGCCACACGCGCCTACCATGGGCTTCATACCATCACCATTAGACGTGCAAGCAGCAAAGATCAAACGCCCCACATGTGTAGCTTATGATGCATCTCAAAAAGCCAGTAACACTGGATCACAAACAGGAACTAGGCTTTCTCTACTGGGCCTAGTATTTTTGTTCTTCTCACCCCCCTTTATTTCTCATTCTAACAGGCCCATCTTATTTTATTTTATTTTATTTTCTGACTCAACAAAAACACACATTTGGGCCTAGCGCCCTTTTTGCTACTTTTTACCTCCCTTTTGCTATTTTTACCCCCAAGCCATATATTTTTCACATTTCTTTATATTTTCTATGCTTTATTTATTTATTTTATTTAACCCAAAAATATAAAAATATATTTTCTTAAATAATTAAATTAAAAATATTTTAATGTAAATATTTTATTTTATTAAATTAGTTTTATTATTTATTTTACAAATTAATATTAGTATTTACAAAAATTATTTTCTATACAAATTAAATTAGGTTTAGGTTTTTGTTTCAATTGAACTAGACTTAGGTTTTGTCATTTTAATAAACTTAAATTTCAGGTTTTGATAATAGTCAACTAAAACTTCTTTTGTGAATAAAATCAATTAGTTCAATTATGTTAAATTCTTTTTCACCAAATAAAACCCTAAAAAATAATCTTCTTCCTCTTCATATCTGGTACATAATTGTTGTTATAATTCATATTCAATTGCTTGTAATAGTAATTAGGGTTTACTTTTCTTGTTATCCCTATTTGTAATTTGTATCCCCATCCCCTAAAATGATGTAATAGCGTAGAACTTTAAAATTCCGCAATTTATCGTTTTCCTTATTATTGCTAGTAATTAGGGTTTGTATGGAAAGACATAAAATCAACAAATAGATAATCCTAAATTCAAGAAAAAATGCATGAAGACAAATACTTTGTACACTTGCACCTCTAGGGTTAACCTACACTTGTTGCCTTAGAATAAAACAGTCATGTCCTTCGAACGTGGGATACTTTAGTAATGACCCTTGAATACAAGATCGTAGTCCCTCGATGACCCTTCGATGTTGCCTTCGGTAAACAAACTTTGACCCTTACGACAAATTGCTAAGGTATCCTACATTGTTGCCTTCTATGACTGTACGAAAACCCACACTTGTCCCTTCACATCCAATGATATGGTTGTTTACTAACTAATGGTAAGATAACACTATTTAAAGGAGGAGGAAAAGAACAAAGACTTTTTGAGTAGGTAGAACGCTCGTAGTTGCTTGCTCACAAATAAAACCATCTTCACACTTACACTTTCAAAATATCTTTCAACCACACTAACACTTTCATGAAATATTTTCAAAATTCAACACTTTGTACATTCTTATAGAGACAAGAATCATTATAAAGTTCGCCTAAACAAAGGCATTTTTCAAAAATACTTTCAAACCATCACAAACACATTTCAAACAAATCATTTTAAAGTGAGCTAGAAACTAAGATCCCGTAGATAACTACAGATAAAAAGGGTGCTAACACCTTCCCTTTTCATAACCTACCCCCCGAACTCAAGAAAATATCTCAAAAGGTCTTTCCTGTTCTTTTCAACCTTTCCTTTATTGGATAAAAGAAAAGTCGGTGACGACTCTTTCTATCTGCAACAATTGCAATTAAATGCAAAACACCCAAGTCAGTTCTCCCACCATATTACAGAACTGACGACTCTGCTGGGGAATGAACTTAAAAGTGGGGTTACCTTAGAGAATATATCACATTTAAATGATTTCATTGTTTGACTTGCTTGCTTTACTCTCAAAAGGGCGTTTGGGTTTTGTATAGATTCTCTACCCGGATCTAGGAACACCATTTGGTAAGTAGAAATAGATTGTGGAGATTGTACGGCGTAGACCGATATGGTTGAAACAATGGCTACGTTAGTGTGACACATTTGTTGGTACCGGTATCCCTTGTGTTGAATCGAGGAGAATACATGGTCGCTGTGTGGTGTTGTGAAGCACTAACTGACCATAGAATCTTTAGTTGAACAACTTGGCCATTAGGAAGTAGTGAGATAGTCGACTTTCGTGCAAAGCTGAAGATTGGTTGATACTCGATACTACACTCATTAAGATCGGACTTTTGGGATATTTTGGCTGCAAGAAAAGATTGGTTGTGCTAAAACAATGTTCGATGAAGAAAGATCAATGATATTGAGATTCCCTAGAACCCGTTTACTTTTTAGGACAAGTTGAACCAACTAAACTTCAAAAGGGTACTTACCTATGAAACTCATGCAAGAATAAACCTAAGGTCTTTGTGTTCTTTGTTTGTGATTATTATTCATGACATCATTAACATCATAAGCACTCTCACTAACCATGAGTCGACGCATTGTTTATTGTATTTGTTTTTTCTGTTTCATTTTTGGTCATGTTGATTGTGAAACACATTTATATTGGTCTATGTTCATCATTTGTGATAACAAGAAAAGTGAAAGATATACACATAACTTCTCATCATCTTCATACACATAATATTTTTTGTTGATTAAAATGCAGAGATGTGGTGATAACGTTCAAATTGAAGACTGAAATTCATATTTGGGTTGAGAATTGAGTGGGTTTTTTCTAGAATAAAACCGTTAGGGTTTTGTCCTCTAATATTTGTGTTGGTGCGAGGGTTTTTGCACAAATCTTTGCTTCATTTAATTCAGCCGAGTGAAAGGATTGAGAAACGGTGAGTTTGCTCAATCAAGTAGCGGTAACCGGAGGATTGTGAAGAAAGATTTGGGATCAAACGTCTTGGAATCGAAATCAGCCGAGTGAAAGATTTGTAGAACAAGGAGTTCGTGCAATCAAGTAGCGATAACCGGAGGTTTGTTCGAAGAGTTTGGCATACTTGGTTTGGTTTGAACCAAGGGGAGAGAATGAAATAGTTTCATCATCAACAATTGGTTTGTGTGTAGTGAAGACTATTGTTTATCTTGTAACACTTTGCAACTTAATATCACATATCTCAATTCTAAATTTTAGAATTGGAGGTAGACTTACCCTACGCGAGGACAATTAGGGGAATTGCCTTAACAAATCGTGCGTTGTTTCGCTTTCCTTGTCGTTTTATTTTCGTTACTCATAATTTGTGTGATATCGATTATTCAATTCATTTTACCGTGATTGTAGTGAGTCAAACTTTGTTTACAATTGTCATAGCAATCACTTTGGTTGTTATCAAAGAAAATTCATCACTATAATTAACTAAAATTGAACTTGTTGTATTTTTACACACGAAGTATTTGATAAATTAACTAACACACAAATTAGTGATTTATTCAACTTTTGAGCATCAAATTAAAACCATGAAATATTCAAATATCAAATAAGATTTATTCAGAAACTAAAGATATTGTTTCATATACAATAATTTCACACATTCTTCAAAAGTTTATGCACCACACAATCATAATTAAAAATAAATAACACAGGAATCTATCAACAATTTTCTTATTTGTGCATATAACAATCTAAAAGAGACGGCATAATGATATTCAAAGAGATAAGACTACATTACTCAAACATAAAAGTTCAAACTGCAAACACTTCAGGTTTAAAAACACTAACATCAAAGATTGAGGAATATTACCTGTGATTTCATTGTTTAAAAGGTTAAGACCCTTGAGAGAATTTAATTCTCCAATGACATGAGGAATTTCTCCTTCAAACATGTTGTTTGATAAATCAATTATTGTTAAAATAGTCGATATCCTTGTCAGCTCCATAGAAAAACCTTTCATTACAACCACCAAAGAGTCATTATAGTAATTCTCTTTACCCATGTAATGCAGACCAATTTGACTGTAATTCACATTCATCATTGCTTGAAAGTTCTTGATGCACGATGTTGGCAAGGTTCCACTGAAATTGTTATGAGAGATGTCAAAAATTCTCAACTTAGAAAATGAATGCTCCGAGCTAGAACATGAGATTTTACCATAAAGTTTATTTGATCGTAGACTGAGTACTTGTAACTCTTTTAGAGTTTCAAGCCAATTTGGAAATGCATCGTCAATGTTGTTATCTCCAAGGTCCAAAATTTTGAGTTTCGTGCAATGAGCCAAAGAGTGTGGTAGTGGTCCTTCCAATTGATTGTCATTCAACTTTATTGTCTCAAAATTATTTTCTTTGGAAAAGGTTCCAGGCATGCTTCCATAGAAGTTGTTCATTTGCATATCCAATATAGAAAGTGAAGGAAATGTTCCCAAGCATTGTGGTATCGTCCCTGTTAAATTGTTATGAGCCAAATTGAGCATTTCCAAGGAACTTGCATTGCATAATGACAAAGCAATGTCTCCTGTGAAGTTGTTATTTGAGAGTAAAAGGTATTGAATGCCATATGGTGGAATTGGAAGATCTCCTTGCAACTTGTTGAAACTAAGATCAATGTACTCAATTTTTTCCCATGAGTTTAAGAGCTGTTTTTGAAACCATTCACCACTCAAATTGTTTAATGACAAATCTAAGTAAGTAAGACTTTGGAGTTTAAATATTGAATTGGGAATATGACCATGTAAGTTGTTATTAGAGAGAATCAAATATTCCAAAGAATGAGTTGAGAAGTCACCAATGAATCCTGTAAGGTGGTTGTCACTGAGGTGCAACTCTAACAAAGAAGGCAATTTAAAACACCAATGTGGAATTGTTCCATTTAACATGTTATGTCCTAAATACAGACTGATCAATTTTGAATGATTTGTGTTTTTACTTGGAATTGGGCCAATTAGTTTATTATTGGAAAGTAATAAATATTCTAATCTGATTAAATTTTCAAAAATATTTGGAATGTTGCCACTAAATTTATTATCTCCAAGATTTAAGAAAGTGAGGTGTGTAAGTTTTGAAAGTGATGATGGGATCTCACCCTCAAAATTGTTGTTAGCAAGGTTCAAGTATGTAAGTTGATTGAGGTTCCACAAAGATAGAGGAACCATTCCATTAAAATTGCAGCCTTGAAGTTTTAAGTAAGTGAGAGACTTCGACTGGCCTATGGAATAAGGAATTTCACCAGAAAAATTAACTAAAAAGAGGTCTAAGTAACTTAGAGGAGTGCTCCAGTTGGACTTTGGAAGTTGACCGCTAAGATATTGATTACCTGATAAATCTAGTTTTTGAAGATTAGGTAGAGAGAGGATGTCACTTGATAAATTTCCTTCCAATCCAGTGGATGCTAGACTAAGAGAAACTAAAGAGGATGACAAGTTCTTTAGCATAGACAAAGAGTTCTCTTTGATTGAGCCCATATACACAGAATCTAGAGAAAGCTCCCTTAAATTAGTAGCATTATGAATGAGTTTCTTCCATGTGAATGGATTGAGTTCCATGTCAGTCATGCTAAGATCAAGTGATACTAATTTTGATAAATGAGAGATTTCTGAAGGAATATTAGTATCTCTAAGGAAACAATTTGAAAGATTTAGATTTGTGAGACTCACTAGATCACCAATACCAACATGGACAGAAGACCAAAAAAAAACATTAAAAGCCAAGTTGAGTTGTTGAAGGTGTCTAAGTTTGAAGATAGTGCTATTGGGATGAAATTCACCTCGCAGATTGTTGCAACTAAGATCAAGACCAATCACATAGGTTGAGACGTTGTTGCACGTGTGTTGGCTCCTAAATTCGACACCTTTGTTTTGTTGATATCAGCCATTAAAGCTGAAGGATGTCTTCGACTGGCTAAGTCTGTCGAAATGCCCGTCGAAAGATGGCAAAAGTACTTAGAAGATTTCTTCCAAGGAAGAAGGCTGGTTGCCTTCGACGTCGAAGGAGTTTCTCGTCGAAGATGTCTCTTGACGAAAGTGTTCGATGGTTCAGAGTGGAGCAGTTTGAAATTCAAGCTTTTGGAGGGAAAACGGTTTCCAGCAGTTGCTACGTGCAAACGTGCAAGGATCTGGAGCGTCGAACGTGGAGAACGTGCCAAGTGGATTGATCTCGAAGCAGTGTAACTGCCCGACGGTTACTTGGGATGTTTTAGTATAAATAATAGTAGTCATGTAGTTTCTCGCGTGTGTTCACAATTCTATACAAAGTCACTCATATAGATTCGAGTACCCAGCGTGTGAGAAAGAATTGTTGAGAAATGTATGTGTGAAACACCAATTTTATTAATCAAAGTTATTTACTTTTCCAGAAATTTACTTGCTTTCCTCTTTACATTCCTGTCGAAGCCTTTTACTTTAAGCCTTGTTTATTTTACCAAGTCCTTTCTTCATGCAATTTACTTGAAACCTCTTTATGTTATTTAAAGCCTCTCTATTTAAAGCCTTATCCAATTTAATCAAACTTCAAAATCAACCTATGTCCTAGGATCAATCTGATCGATCCTGCGAGTAACCAAATAAGTAACCATTTGGAGGATCAGCGGTTGTTTACCAAAAACCAAGGTAAACAAATTGGCACACCTAGTGGGACTGTGTGTTGATTGTTGAAAATAATCTCATCTTTTCGAGTTGTATGTTATTGAGAAGTGGTAGAATATACACTAACGATAACAATACTGCCAGAAGAAGGGAAGAGATGGCGAATCCGCCAAACAATAACGAAATCCCACAAACGAGTGTGGGAGCAACGGTTAGTATGACCGTAAGTGAAGCGACAAATGTTAGTTCGACACCAGCAGTATCGGTCACAACCACGGGGCCAATACCTTCGTTAACAGGCCCCAGGATGCCTTTGGGAACTCCCCCACCAAGGGGAAATTTAGGCACAAGGCCTTTGGTTCCCCCAGGATTTATTCCATTCTATGGTATGCCAACTTCTGAAGTGGCAAGCCTGACGGATGCTGCGTCCACTTTTTCAGACCCTTTCGTGAGTGCCTCTTCGCCACTCCAAGGCTCTGGAGTAGGCATGGCGAATAGAAATAGGACCCAACTCTTAGGAGGAACGTCCCAAGTAGCCCATGGCCTTACAAACGCCTCGACAGCAGTCTTGAGGCAACAAATGGACGAAAGCAACCATGATATGGTGCAAATGTTGGCACAGACTTTGAGTACGGTGCTAAACCCTCTAATACAAAACACTACTCAATCGAATCAGCAAGTGACAGCGCAAATGACGCGTTTAGCTGACTTCTTTGGATTACCCCAACCTATTCAACAGCCCCAAAGGGCGCAAATAAGGGGAAATCAGGGGATATTTTTAGAGGAAGAAACCACCATTAACCAGGCTCAACAGCCTGTCGAAGAAAACCTTAGGGCACGATTGGAACAACCTATCGAAGAACCTAGGGTAATAACCCCAGAGGTAAGGTTAGTTAACAGAAACCAAAATGCTGACGAAGTGGTTCAGCATATCCAATACCAAAACATGGGGTTGGAAAACAATCTGGCAACCATGATTGAAAGGATCATGACTCAGAATGGGATGAACATGGGCTTTCAAAGGCCCAACTTTACATCTCCATTGTCAGAATACGTGTTACAAACGGACTTACCTCCTAGATGCAAAGTCCCCAAATTTACTAAGTTCTCTTGGGACACGACAGAATCTACTGTCGAGCACGTGGCGAGGTATTTGATCGAAGCGGGTGACATTTCGAATAACGAAAACCTAAGGATCAAGTACTTCCCAAGTTCTTTAACAAAGAACGCTTTTACTTGGTTTACAACTCTTCCCCCCAATTCGATCCATCATTGGACCCAGTTGGAGAGATTGTTCCATGGGGCAAACCAAGATAAGCCTGAAAGAACTGGCCAGTGTGAAAAGACGTTTCACTGAACCTATAGACGAATATCTGAATAGGTTTAGGTTGCTCAAGGCGAGATGTTTTACACAAGTGCCAGAACATGAGTTGGTCGAAATAGCCGCAGGCGGTTTAGATTATTCCATTAGGAAGAAGCTAGACACCCAGTACCTAAGAGACATGGCCCAACTGGCCGATAGAGTTCGACAGGTAGAACGCCTCAAAGCTGAAAAAGCTAAGGCAACGAAAACTCACAAGAGAGAAAGGATAGCGTACGTTGAGATGGATGACGAAGATCTAGAATCCTTCGACGATACTTTAACTGTCGAAGAAGGAGAAGTCGACTTAGCAGAACTGAAACAAGGGCCACCATACTCTTGTAAACTGTTAGTCCCCTCAAATGGGAAAAATCCCATTGGTCCAGAAAGGACCAACGATAGGTTCCCAAAAAAGACTTATAGTTTTGACATCACAAAATGTGATGAAATATTCGACTTGCTAGTTAAAGATGGCCAAATGATAGTACCCCCAGAGGTAAAAGTGCCTCCTCTTGATCAAAGAAAGAAGAGAGGTTTTTGCAAATATCATAATTTTTTGGGCCATAAAACTTCTCAATGTTTTCTTTTCAGGAATCTTGTGCAAGACGCTATCGAAGAAGGGAGATTGAAGTTTGCTGACAAATCCCCCATGGCTGTCGACTCAAATCCATTGCAGGCTGAAGCCCACTATGCTGAACCCTCTGAGGTGAACGTGATAGAGGCAACCAGGATCTAGTCGAAGAAGCCAGGAATTACCATGGTCGAAGTCTCAAAGGACCACATCAACATGCCAATCTTTGGCAGTTTTTCTGGAAATTTATCCAGGAAGACAATAGAAGCTGTCCAGAAAGCGGCCGAAAACCCGAAGTCGGAGACCGCTGAAGCACAAAAAACTAGATCAAAACCCAGTTCCCACTTGGCCACCGTTCAAGGCCAGACGGAGAATCTGGAGATACAAATGAAGCAGTTAACTCTTGCTAACAAAGATACAATGAATATCAACATGGTCGAACTTTCTGACCCAAAAGTATCAGAAGAGGCCATGAGGCAAGAACAAGCTAATAAGACTGCTTTCCCTCGGGAAAATGAAAACTTGGCAGATTTTTTACAAAGATGCCAGAAAAAGAAATCAGAGGTGATGCTGTGTCCAAGATGCAGTTCGATCTTTGATAAAAAAGCTGCTGAGCACATTCAAGGCGTAAGAGCAGCGAATAAGAGAAGGGAGAATGCTGACCTTCGACATGATCCCAGAAGAGGTTCTAACCAAGAAAAGAGGCCATTGACTTTTAGGCCTCCAACAAATGTGCCAGTAGACACTTGGTACAAAACCTCTGGCCGGAAAAGGCCAAGTGAGGAGAAATGGCATTCTTTCGATGTGCTAAGAGGTTCCTCTTTGACTCAAAAGAAAGAGCCTCAAGTTGCTGCACCTAAGGTTACACAAGTGTCCAGCAACTACAAAGGTAAAAATCCTATGTCTCGATCTCAATGGAGGAGATATCAAAGGAGACGAAAAGCTGAAAGGGAGGCTGCCAACGAACCTAAGGCAGAAACTAGTTCGAATGTTCCTCAAAGGAAAAAAAGGAAGCCTCTAGAGAGAGAGCCAGTAACCAACAGGCTAGTTTGGCCTAACCAAAGTGAAGTCGAAGACAAAGACGATGCTGAGTCTGACGATACTTTGGACATAATGGTGAATATCGTTTCAGTGCTGCCCAGAGAATTCAATCGACAGGTAGAAGTCGAAGCAAGTGACTGGGAAGTGGAGCAAGAGATGGCCAAACATAGGCCAGTGTGCTATTTTGTCATGGACAATGGCACTACTGAGGAACAAAATGGCTTCTTCGAGCCACCTACAGAGGCGATGAAAAATCACCTCAAGCCTTTATTCATAAGGGCTAAACTCGAAGAAACTACTGTGAATAAAATATTGGTCGATTGTGGAGCAACCATCAATATTATCCCTCACTCTATGCTAAGGAAAATTGGCAAAAGGGATGAGGACATTAAGCCTCACAACATGGTTTTGTCGAACTATGAGGGCGGCATAGGGACCACCATGGGAGTGATCCAGCTAGATATCAACGTAGGGTCTATCCTTCGACCAACGATGTTCATGGTCATATCGGCCAAACCTAACTACAATCTTTTGTTAGGCCGTGAATGGATTCATGGTGTTGGCGCTGTGCCTTCATCGATGCACCAAAGGCTGCTGCTATGGCGTCCAGATGGGATGGTCGAAAACATAGAGGCAGATCAAAGCTATTACCTTGGCAAAGTGAATCACCTGGGTTTGGCAGATTTCGACAAGAACTTGGCTCACATAGGGCCATGTCCAACACCTGACTTCGACATGGCGCCAGCGCCAAACACCTTTTGTTCCCTATACCTGCATCCTGAGCATGGTTTCCAATGGAACAGAGAAGACTTGTCCCACATAGACTTCAGTGGGTTAACTGATATCCAACCAACTGGTTGGGGAAGTGAATTCAGTGATAATGACTGAGTCACAATCTTTGAAGCGAATTTCGGCTTATGTAACCGAAACCAAGATGATAACGGCTCTCGAAGCCGAAGTAAAGTACATGGCCACACAGGCCAATGATCAACAATTGTCTGCTGTAGGCCCAGGAAAGGATTTCGATCCAAAACCTCCTGATATCATGCCAGAAGAAATGCAGGAACAGAGGCTCGACGCCATCTATGACGATGAGCCTTTGGGCTTCGAAAAGGACCCCTTGGCGAACAACATTAAAATGTTAGCACAAGACCCTTTAGAAGAAATCAACTTAGGCGGAGGATCAGAGAAAAGGCCAACTTACATCAGCGCCAAAATCGATCCAGAACTTAGGTTGGAAATAATCCAATTGCTGAAAGAGTTTAAAGACTGTTTTGCATGGGATTATGACGAAATGCCTGGTCTCGACAGAGGATTGGTAGAACTTCAGTTGCCAATCAAACCTGGGAAGAAGCCAATCAAGCAAAATCCAAGGCGCTTCGCTCCAGAAATATTGTCGAAGATCAAAACGGAGGTCGAAAGACTTCTGAAATGCAAATTCATCCGTGTTACAAGGTATGTCGAATGGATTGCAAATATTGTGCCAGTAATTAAGAAAAATGGTACGTTAAGGGTGTGCATAGATTTCAGAGATTTGAATGCTGCCACCCCCAAAGATGAATATCCTATGCCTGTGGCGGAAATGCTAGTCGATTCTGCCGCTGGTTATGAATACCTGAGTATGCTCGATGGTTATTCAGGATATAATCAAATATTCATTGCTGAAGAGGATGTGTCGAAAACAGCTTTTCGATGCCCCGGGGCCTTAGGCACTTACGAATGGGTAGTGATGCCTTTTGGCCTAAAGAACGCTGGGGCAACGTACCAGCGAGCAATGAATACTATCTTCCATGATTTTATTAACACTTTTATGCAAGTATATATTGATGATATTGTTATAAAATCTGTTTCCAGGAAGAATCATATTGACCACCTTCGACAATCATTTGAAAGAATGAGAGAACATGGTCTGAAGATGAACCCTTTGAAGTGTGCGTTCTGTGTGAAAGCTGGAGATTTCTTGGGCTTCGTTATCCACAAGAAAGGAATCGAAATCAACCAGAACAAGACGAAGGCAATTCTGGAAGCGAAAGCGCCATCGAATAAGAAGGAATTGCAATCTCTCCTAGGCAAGATAAATTTCTTAAGGAGGTTTATATCTAATCTAAGTGGGAAAGCTCAGGCCTTTTCACCCTTACTTCGACTGAATAAAGAGGGGTTCGAATGGGGGCAAGAGCAACAAGAAGCCTTCGACAAAATCAAAGGGTACCTCACTAAGCCACCTATTTTGGTGCCTCCTTGTAGCAATAGGAGTATGAGATTGTACATAGCTGCATCTGACAAAACTCCGGGAAGTATGTTAGCCCAAGAGGATGAGAATGGAGTCGAAAGACCCATTTACTATCTCAGTAGAGTTTTGAACGATGCAGAAACTAGATATAGCGAAGTTGAAAAATTGTGTCTATGTCTGTATTTTTCTTGTACAAAACTCAAGCAATATATAAAACCAGTTGATGTTTATGTTTCGTCTCATTTTGATGTTTTCAAATATATGTTGTCGAAACCTATCTTGCATAGTCGAATTGGCAAATGGGCATTAGCATTAACTGAATACTCCTTGACCTTTATGCCTCTTAAGGCAGTAAAAGGACAAGTGGTTGCAGATTTCATAGTCGACCACTCAATTCAAGTCGAGGATATTAATTATGTGGAGATAGAGCCTTGGAAATTCTACTTCGATGGTTCCAGCCATAAAGATGGAACAGGGGTAGGAGTCTTGATTATTTCTCCAGATAAAATTCCAACAACATTCAAGTACAAAATATCAGGTTCTTGTTCGAACAATGAGGCTGAGTATGAAGCTCTAATTACTGGCCTTGAGATATTGTTGGAATTGGGGGCAACTCGAGTCGAAATAATGGGAGACTCAGAGTTAGTCATTAAGCAAGTCACAAAAGAATATAAATGCATAAGAGAGAATCTCATTATGTACTTTGTGATAGCAAATCGTTTATTGAAAAAATTTGAAACGGTCAATATTCGACACATACCCAGAGTCGAAAATCAAATAGCCAATGACTTGGCACAGATTGCATCTGGGTATAAGATTTCAAAAACGAGATTACAAAGAGCAATCGAAGTTCGAGAAAAGATAAAAGCAACTTGTCTATCACCAACAGACTTGGAATCGACGAGACTAGGATATGCTGATCACAGTAACTTCGAGATTTCGTTCATTGATAATTTGTCAGAGCAAGATTGGAGGAAACCCATTGTGGACTATCTTCAAAATCCAGGAGCTTCGACAGAACGAAAAACAAAATTCAGGGCGTTGAGTTATGTACTCATGGGTAATGAGTTATTCAAGAAGACGCCTGAAGGGGTGTTGCTGAAATGTTTAAGTGAAACTGAAGCATACATAGCCCTTTCGACGACGCATGCTGGGGCATGTGGGGCTCACCAAGCAGGCCATAAGATGAAATGGTTGTTGTTTCGACAAGGACTATATTGGCCCACTATGCTGAAGGATTGTGTTGAGTTCGCCAAAGGTTGTCAAGAGTGTCAAGTTCATACAGGCATCCAACATGTACCAACAAGCGAACTTCACTCGATAGTGAAGCCTTGGCCCTTTAGAGGATGGGCGTTGGATCTCATTGGAGAGATTCGACCAGCATCATCAAAGAGTCAGAAATACATATTGGTAGGCATTGATTATTTTACTAAGTGGATCGAAGCTGTCCCTTTAGTCAATGTAGACCAAGAAAATGTCATTGAATTTATTCAAAAGAACATTATCTTTAGGTATGGAATCCCTGAGACGATAACAACTGATCAAGGGTCAGTTTTCACTGGTCGAAAGATGCAGGAATTTGCTCAGGAAACAGGTTTCAAACTCCTAACATCAACGCCTTATTATGCTCAGGCGAATGGTCAAGTCGAAGCAGCTAACAAAGTGGTGATTGGTTTGATAAAGAAACATGTTGGGAAGAAACCAAAGAATTGGCATAAGACGTTAGACCAGATTCTGTGGGCTTGTCGAACGTCCCCAAAAGAAGCCACTGGTACAACACCGTATAGGTTAACTTTTGGCCATGATGCAATGTTGCCAGCAGAAATTTGTCTTCAATCTGCAAGGGTTCAGAGGCATTATGATATTCCTTCTGAAATCTATTGGAACATGATGTTAGACGAACTGGTGGATTTAGACGAAGAGAGACTACGCGCTCTCGACCTACTCAGGCTTCAGAAGAAAAGAGTAGAAGACTCTTATAATAGAAAGGTAAAACCTAAGGTATTTTTACCTGAAGAACTAGTTTGGAAGGTAATTCTTCCCATGGATCGAAGAGATCGAAGCATGGGGAAATGGTCACCCAAGTGGGAAGGACCCTTCAGAGTTATCCAAATTTTTTCTGGTGGAGCCTATGAAGTCGAAGAGTTAGGTGGAGATAAAAGGCTCTTGAGAGTAAATGGTAAATATTTGAAAAAATACAAACCTATACTTCAAGAGATAAAAATAAAATAATAAAAGAACAAGACTAAATTAACCATAAAAATGCCAAAATGGAAATTTTATAAATTTCAGCCAAGATGGCAATTGTTGTCGAATATGGATTACAAAATATGGTTACAAAAGAGAATCAATCAAAAGGGAAGAGAGTCCTTGAGTCGAAGATACTTGGCTTGCTGCAGCTCCAACCTTTTCGAACACCAGGCGTTCTCCTGCACTAGTTTGGCAATTTGAGCGTCGAGGCCTTGGGCCCTCTCAGCGAATTCCAGGCCTTGTTTGATTTCAGTTTGGCTCTCGGTGTCTGAGATGGTCGAAAGAAGTTCCTCCTTGCGTATAGTGTTGGCATTTATCTTCGCTTCTATCTCTGCGATTTGTGCCCGGAAGGAAGCATTCTCTCGATCAATGGCATCGACTTCTTCCTGCATAGATGCTTTTTGTTTCGACAACTCCGCAATTCGAGAAGTCGAATCCGAGACAGCAGTCCACGCAGAGGAGCTTTTGCCATACAACACCTCAAGCTGACTGTTAAATCCCCTTTGGCGCCTGTAATCTGCTGAGACTTGATCAATCATAGAGTGTAACTCCATGATCAAGCCTGAGACTTCTGGGGCTACGGCTAACAAGTCGACAGCGTTCAAGACATCCTTCAAACATGATGGAGCAGTGGGGTCCCCCTCTAAAGTCTTCATCAAGTCCCTCTTGAAGAACTGGGCCTTAACCTTCGCCAAAGCGTCATTGAGAGGAGAGGTTTCAGTAGACTTCCCCGACAGGGCAGGAATCTCCTGACTAGCATCAGACGAACTCTTGCTCTCGATGATTGCGTTGAGATAGCTAACAGGGTCAGTTTGTTTCAAAAGTTCTAAGTCCTCTTTTGACCTGTGCTTCGTGGAGGTAACCCTTGCAACAGTATTGTCTTGGGTTTGAGGCTGTTGAATGTTAAGTGCCTCGACTTGTTGCTCTTCGACTCGGACTGGGGCAGCACCAGCGTCGACTTGTGGCTCTTCACTAGCATCACCCTGGTGCTCTTCGCTAGCGTCACCCTGGTGCCCTTCGCCAGCGTCATCTTGGTGCTCTTCGCTAGCGTCACCCTGGTGCCCTTCGCCAGTGCCACCTTGGTTCTCTTCGTCAACAGCACCTTGATTTTCTTCGCCAGCATTGCCTTGGTCCCTTTCTTCGTGATTCTCTTCTGACAGATCCACCACCTGAACCGCTTCTGGCTGTTGTTCCTCCACCAGAGGTTCCTCTGTTGGTTTTTCTACCGTTTCAGCATTGGCCTCATTTTCAGTATGGGCTTCGTCATTTCCCAAGCCTTTTTCCTGAGGCCTGCTAAGTTCAGCAGATTCCAACGTTTCAGAGGTCCTTGGCGGAGAACTTTCAGTAATGTCCTGAAAAAGGAAAGAAGACAAATCTTCAGAGATCGAAAGAGACACAATCGAATATGGATAAATTATAAAAAGGTCTAAGGGATAAAAAGGTCTAAGGGATTACCTGTGGATTAGCTTCAGCCCCAGGGCTGGAATTGTCGCTTTCGACAGGCTTGTTAAGAAGAATGTTTAGTTCCTCCTCAGTTGGCTCCTCGATGATCACTGGAGGTGGCCTAGGCTTTCTCCCAGCAACTTTTATTCTGATGGTTCGACCTTCAGGAGCAGGAGCAGGAACAGAAGCATCCTTCGTCAACTTTCGCCTCTTTAGAGGGGCAGGAGGAGAGTCACTTTCTTCATCACTCCCAGATTCGACCACCAGTGCTGGCCGTTTCTTGGGCGGAGGTGCCTAGAAAACCAATGGGAATTCGATTTAATAATTGCATCGAAAGTGAAAAGTCGAAAGCCAGGAAAAAATGATGAAAGTCTGGTTACCGATATAGAAGGCTTCTTCGAAGAGCCTTCCCCCTGTTGGTTGCTTGTGGTCTTCGCCGGCGCTGTAGTCTTCGCCGGCGGTGGAGGTTTTGTTGAAGGGCCTCCTCCTTGTTGGCCTTCTGTAGCCTTCTTGGCCACAGGCTTTCGAACAACTGAAAGCAAACAAAAAGTTAACAGGCTAGTAGTCGAAAGAAAGACAAAAGTAATGTGAGAGCATGAACTTACATTTCTTTATTTTGTCCAACACAAGGACAAATGACTTCTGCAGCTCATCCATGAAGTCCTTCTCATCGAAGAAGTACTCAGCATAATAGCTTTTCCACCACTCTTCGAAGGATGGTGAGCAAAGAAAATTGAGCTGGTAGTCAAACAAAGAGAGAACTGTTCGACCAGCATATCTTCCGATATGCTTGATGGCAGCTTCTTCTGTGTAATCATTGCAGAAGTACAACATTGACTTCTCTCGTGGAAAAATCGGAGAAGGTAGGGTTTGGATAATACCAAACTGGCGAGATACCAGGTTTGGTTGGTATGCAATCAGACTCAAATGAGTCTTAGAGCTCCTGAATCGAATAGGCATGATCCTTGGTGTAAGGAACGCCTCCCACAGTATTGTATGTTCGTCGACATTGGGACCACTCGACGTCCTTGGGTGTGGCCTTGTGAACCATGCTGGGCCTACCTGCCGTCGAGCAAATGGAGCCATAGTTGAAACAAACTCCTTCCTTCGAGCAAACATTAGAACGAAGTTGGTGAAGGTTTGTTGAAACTCCAGTCCATCGTCCATAGGTGTCAGCAGAGCCAGCCTGGTTCCTTCGACGCGTCTATTCGCTATCGCTGGAGCCTGATCATTTATCTGAACTTTCTTGGGCAAGAAAGATTCGAAAGTGGCATTGAGCCACAGTTGGAGTAGCCAAAAAGGCCCAGCAAGTAGCAAACTGGCCCTGTTTTCGATAATTTTCAGAAGAGTTGCCCCATTGCTGATCGAATCATAGAGGCTAGCCAGAATCAGTTCTGCCAAACAGATGTTTTGGCGATGATGTAGTTGAGTAGCAAGAGTGACCATCTTTTTGGTCACCTGTAAAGACTTCGAGCAAAATACAAAGTGAGTCAGCCATAAGGCTAGAAACGCTATGTGTTCGACATCCGACACAGCATCTGTCGACCTGTCATGATAATGGTTGATGAAAGTGGTGTATGTTGGTTTGGTCTCAGAAAAGCCAATTTGGTCCTCCGACATCTCCTCCGGATCGAAGTAATCCCCGGTGGGTCGAAGGCCAGTAATAGCGGCCACAACGAAGAGTGTGGGGGTTAGCATCCCACAAGGAAGATGGAAAGTAAAGTGGGAGTAGTCCCAGAACAGCAGAGAAGCTATCAGCATCTCCGGAGAATAGTTCAAACCTGTCTTCGACAGCATCACTAGGTCGAAGATCCCCATATCCTTCCAGATCGAAGTTTGGTGCTTCTCCATCTTTACTAGCCAAGCAACGTAATCGGGGGTAAGGTTAGGGCAAGACCTGAAGGCCCTAACACCTCTGTTGAAGAAACGGAGGTCGATTTTTTCATGTGCAGGGTCTTCATTGTCTTCTGCGTCTTTCTTGGCACATGCGACCGGTTTGAGTTTCTCAACTACCGGGAAATAGCTCTTGATCTTCAAAGCCTCAGAGATACTTGGATACATGGGGCCAGACATTGCAAAGATCTGGTTGGAGTATCCAACCGGGATCATCAAGTGGCGTGAGTAGGCATCGCGAACGGCGATATCCGAGGGTTCAGGAACTCTTCGTTTGCCTGTAGAATTTACTACCGGAGCAGTGACGAAAACCTTGGGTTTAGCATTTTCAGTTGGTGCGTTAGCACTAGGAGCAGTAGAACCAGATGCCATGGTTTAGTGTTGAGTTTGAAATGAGGTTGAAGACGAAGTGAAAGAGGAAGAGTTTCTGCAAAGATAACAAGCTTGTATGAAAACAGAGAAGTTTGAAAGGCTAGATGGCGTAAAAAGTCCCACAATGGGGTGCTTACTGCTATTTATAGTAGTGGGAAAAATCCCCAAAAAACGAGGACATTAAATGCCATTTAATGCTGCAGGAGTTAGTGGGACGCGTGGCATCCCCCTGTTGTTTTAGCCGTTCTGCAGAAATAGAGGGACGCAGCGTGCGTCCTCGTTTTTGAGAATTGTCATAATGACAAATTCTGAAATGACGTTTGGTACTGCACGCCGTACTGAAAATGACGTCCTAGGTACGGAATAATGATGGTTTTCTTGGGATTGCCAATAGTTGGTAGAAAATAACAAAAAGTGCACAAGTTAATGTGTGACTAAGCGTGAAAAGGCAGGTGTCGAATGGCGTTTCAAAGAATGCCTTTTTCTTTCAGAGTCGAAATAAGGCATTCTTGGGGGGCAATTTGTTGGCTCCTAAATTCGACACCTTTGTTTTGTTGATATCAGCCATTAAAGCTTAAGGATGTCTTCGACTGGCTAAGTCTGTCGAAATGCCCGTCGAAAGATGGCAAAAGTACTTAGAAGATTTCTTCCAAGGAAGAAGGCCGGTTGCCTTCGACGTCGAAGGAGTTTCTCGTCGAAGATGTCTCTTGACGAAAGTGTTCGATGGTTCAGAGTGGAGCAGTTTGAAATTCAAGCTTTTGGAGGGAAAACGGTTTCCAGCAGTTGCTACGTGCAAACATGCAAGGATCTGGAGCGTCGAACGTGGAGAACGTGCCAAGTGGATTGATCTCGAAGCAGTGTAACTGCCCGACGGTTACTTGGGATGTTTTAGTATAAATAATAGTAGTCATGTAGTTCCTCGCGTGTGTTCACAATTCTATACAAAGTCACTCATATAGATTCGAGTACCCAGCGTGTGAGAAAGAATTGTTGAGAAATGTATGTGTGAAACACCAATTTTATTAATCAAAGTTATTTACTTTTCCAGAAATTTACTTGCTTTCCTCTTTACATTCCTGTCGAAGCCTTTTACTTTAAGCCTTGTTTATTTTACCAAGTCCTTTCTTCATGCAATTTACTTGAAACCTCTTTATGTTATTTAAAGCCTCTCTATTTAAAGCCTTATCCAATTTAATCAAACTTCAAAATCAACCTATGTCCTAGGATCAATCTGATCGATCCTGCGAGTAACCAAATAAGTAACCATTTGGAGGATCAGCGGTTGTTTACCAAAAACCAAGGTAAACAACGTGACACCATCCCACTTGCAACAATCTGTATTATTTTTCCAAGATTCTGTCTTGAACAAAAAAGTGGAGCAAGTGGGAAACAAAAACTCATCGGGTTTAGAAGAAGTGTTGACAAAAAATGAGTTCTTGAATTGTAACAATGCAGAGCTCTCGTGAGGATTGCATAATGAAAAAGTATAGGAAGTAAAATGTGTAAGTAACAGGAAAAACAAGTGAAGGGAAAAATAAGGCAATACTAAAAGTAAGGATCCCATTTAGAGAAACTTACACTTGCACTCTTTTTTTTCTTTTAAGCTGGGTGATGTTGGAAGTAGCAATTGATTATCTTGTGTTTATATAGGAAACATAACGTGAAATTAAGCATTCGCGAGAAGCAAAGATGAAAATTGAGTCTTTGCATGCTCTTGTTTTGTAGTATGGATACTTTTCTTCAAGTGTATGGAACACTCTAGTAGATTTGTTTTAGCTACAGCCTCTTCGACTTTGACTGTAACAGGAGTGTCAGTAACTACTTCTTCTTCGATTTCGACTGGATTTTCAATAATTCTTTCGACTGGGTTCTCAACAATTTCTTCGACTTCTACTTCATTAGTTTCTTTGTCGAAATCAAAGTTTATTAATGGCTTGTTGTTAGAATTTCAATCCCAGACAGAATTTTCATTAATCACAATATCTCGACTCAACACAATCTTCTCATTAACCGGATTGAATAGTCTGTATGCACCAGTTTTATGATATCCTACCAGAATCATAAGTTCACTCTATGTCATAGAGCCAAACATCTTCAAATGACTTACTGATGGTTGTTTGTCACTCCACACTTCTTCAGGAACCTTGTTCTTCAATATCTTAGTAGGACACCTATTCAAAATATAAACTGCAGTCGAAACAACTTTCGACTAAACTCATCAACAAACTAAACAAAAATACTTGTTTCCACCAATTGTATGTTCTTCGAATGGACCACATACATCTGAAGTATTTGGTCCAGTAGCAAGATTAGAGACTGTTCGACTAGTGGTAGCATTGACATGCAACCAAGGCTGGTCGGCATTCTATCTAGATGTGAAATTATCATTCTCAATGGTCCTTTAGATGAAGAAGTTTATGTCACATAACCTCCTGGGTTTGTGATTCAGAAGGAAGCGAATAAAGTATATAGATTGCACAAAGCGCTTTATGGCCTCAAGCAGGCACCTAGGGCATGGAACAAGAAGATTGACTCATACTTAGTCAAATAGGATTTGTCAAATGCAAATCAGAGTATGGTGTCTATGTTCAGGTTGTAGCACAAGATATAACAATCATCTGCTTGTATGTTGATGACTTGTTAGTAACTGGAAATAGTTTGGAGAACTTGTCGAAGTTCAAAGAGCTGATGGCAAAGGAATTTAAAATGTAGAATCTAGGAAAATTGTCTTATTTTCTAGGCATGGGATTTCAAATGTCGAAGCAAGGTATGGTGCTACATCAAAGAAAGTATGTCAAAGAGATACTCAAGAGATTCAGAATGGATGATTCAGATCCTACATCCTCACATGTGGAACCAAATGTGAAGTTGGAGAAGAATGGAGAGGAAGACAAAGTCGATGCAACTTTGTTCAAGCAAATTGTGGGATCTCTAAGGTATGTGTGCAACAGTCGATCTGATATAGGTTTCACAGTCGGATTAGTAAGCAGATATATGGATGAACCAAGAGTGTCACATATAAAGGCTGCAAGAAGAATCCTGAGATATTTGAAGGGTTCAATAAATTGTGGAATACTATCTCGACAAGATTCTAAAGGCAAAGAAGCAAGAGTTAATTGTTTTTCAAATGCTGATTGGTGTGGAGATAAGGAAGATCGAAGAAACACAATTGGATATTTCTTTCAAGTATTTGGTGCCACAATCTCATGGTGTTCGAAGAAGCAACCTGTGGTGGCATTGTCATTGCGTGAAGCTGAATATATAACAGGATCCTATGCTACATGTCGAGCAATTTGGATCAGATCTGTACTTGAAGAAATGATTGTCGAAGTGAAGAAACCTCTAGTATTGCAAATCGACAACAAGTCAGTCATAAATTTGGCGAAGAATTTAGTTCTACATGGAAGAAGTAAACATATTGAGCAAGGTTTCACTTCTTGAGGGAAAAAGTAAATCAAGATGAACTTGAAGTTAGACATTGCTCAAGTGAAGCACAGTTGTCCGACATTTTCACTAAAGGATTGAAGATCGAAAGATTTCTGAATTTGAGAAAGAAATTAGGAATAGTTCAGATTGACTATTTTTGAGGATGTTCGACAACTTGGATTATGGGGGTGTGTTGAAATATTAAATTATATTTGATTAGATTTAATATTTAAATATAATCTAAGTTGTGTTAGCTCAAGCCCAATTAATGTTGTATATAAATAGTCATAGTATATATCATTATTTATACAATTGAATAATATAAATTCTTATTTTCTTTATTATTCTCTATTTATCTCACGCACTAACATTTGTGTGGTTGAAATTTTAGTCATATCATAATTCCATGGAAGAAAACAAAAACATACATTCTTTCAAAGGAGGAGACCTAGACTTTTGAACCGTATGTATCACTCCTAAGACGAAGGTAATGAAATTGAGGAGGTTTGTTGGTATTTTTTTTAAAACTTTTAAATATAGGTTTAAATTAATAGAATATTTGTGCATCCGCACAAATTCTAGTGTGAACGGTGGAATTTCACCAGTTTGATTTTGAAATTTAAATAAAATAGAAAATATTTAAATTTAATTATAAAAAAGAAAAATAATAATAAAAGTCAAAAATAAATATATATATATATATATATATATATATATATATATATATATATATATATATATATATATATATATATATATATATATATATATATATATATATATATATATATATATATATATATATATATATATATATATATATATATATATATATATATATATAAAAGTTAAATAAAATATAATAAAAACATAAATAAGAAAAACAAAATAGTTTATTAAAATAAAATTAAAATTGTATCAATTTTCAAATTTTAAAAGAAAGACATAAAAGATAATGTGTTGTTTTTTAATTAATTATGTATCTAATATTTTAATTTTATAATTATTTTTAATTTAAAATACAATAATTTTTAAGATAATATATGAAAAATTGATATATATATATATATATATATATATATATATATATATATATATATATATATATATATATATATATATATATATATATATATATATATATATATATATATATATATATATTACTCGTGTGTTCACACATATTTTGGTCTGATTATCCGTGCATTCACACTTATTTTGGTCTGATTACTTGTACGTTCACAAGATACTAATGTATTATGCAGATATGATTTTGTTTACTAAAATTGTTTTACATCAATAATATATATTTTAACTTTTCATATATTAAATCCGTGCGTTCGCGCGAATTTTATTATAGTTATCCGTGTGGTCAAACGATATTGGTGTGTTACTCGTGTGTTCGTGGTACAGATATTTTTGTTTTTAAAATATAATAAAATAATAAGAAAATAAAATTGAAAAAGACAAATTGCCTAACTAAACATATTTATAAAATAAAAAATAAAATAGTTTTACCAAAATTATTTTACATTAATAATATATATTTTTAAATTTTTTATATAATTTTAATT